CCAGCTACTTGGGAGGCCAAGTCAGGAGGACTGCTATTTTGAGGCTGGCTTGGGCAACTCAGAGAGATCCTGTATCAAATTAAAAAATAAAAAAGGATTTGGTACAGCTCACTGGTGGAGCACATGCCTAGTATCCATTAACCCCTAGTTATAAAAAAAATAGATTATGAAAACTGAAAATCAGAAGAGAGGAATGTAGCTGAATAGGCTCTGGGTAAGTAGAAAGTCCCAGACATGACAAAGGGTGCTGACTTTTTCTATGTTCTTATTCCATCAATGTTAACAATTCCTTACAGACTGAGCTATTGTGAACAAATTTATTTAATTATGAGCTGTGCACACTGGGCTCTCGCACACACAGAACTGTGAATAACCAGCCTGTATCCTCCAGGATTTCAGTTTGCTCATCCTTTCCAGTGGGGTGCATGTGTCTTCTCATCATCTGCTTCGGTGGGTCCATGTCTGCATCTGCCTTCCTGCCGTCTCTGAGGACAGAGTCCAACTCTATTGCTCTTCAGGCTGGGGACAGGCAATGATGGATCATTACTCCTTCATCATGCTCCAGTACAGAGGTAGCACAGGCTGCTGAGTGGTGTGGGAGAAACCAGATGCAGGAGGGACTCAGAGAACACTGCTTCTTCCCCGTCAAGCCAAGCAGCTGGAGTAGCTAGATGGGAAGACCCCAAATTGCAAAGGTCTGATTCAGGGTTAAAGGGACATTTTTAACAAATTATCTTTATTAAAATTAATTGAGATAATAATTATATATTTATGGGGTACACGGTGATAATTTTTGATACCAGGGATCAAACTCAGGACCATTTGCTTGGCAGGCAGGCATGGCACCATTAAGCTAAATCCTTGCCCCACACAGTGATAATTGTCACATGTGTACAGCATGTAATGATCAGATTAGGGAAATTAGCAGTCCCAGTTCTTTAAATGTAATGTATTTCTTGTGTTTGAAACATTCAAACTAATCTCTTGTAGTTATACTAACATGCACAGTTAATTGTCATAACTTATTGTCACCCTTGTCTGCTGGAATATATAACACTGGAATATGTTCCCCCATCTAAGTGGATTTTGATATCTGCTATCCAGGCCCTTCCTCCTCCTATCCATCACTTTCCACCCTATAGTGACCATGATTCTACTTTGCAGTCTTGGATCTGTTGAAGATGCAAGAACCCTCAGTCAAAGCTCTGCTTTCTTCACACACTGGTTCTAGCTTCCTTGGGAATATCTCTTAACAGAGTAGAAAATTAGTCCCCCTAAACTGTCCACTAATTGGTTCAAAATGATCATGAGTGGTGATAAAGATGAAGAGGATTAGGATGATGACATGTGTCTATAACCATAATACCATCAACTTTTATCAAATTTTCCCAAGTGCCGGTCTCAATGTAGTTTAATTTCATCTGAATAACTGCCTCCAGGCTATAAGTGCACATATTGTTATTCTTTTTCATAAGTAAACCATAGTGCTTTCTCATATAACTTGGTCCATGTCCTGGGATGGAACTGGGGTGAAGACAGGTTTGAACTGAACATTCTTACTGCAGACACAAGGTAGCTGGGCAAGGTTCTCCTGTGACAACACCATCAGCAATTTCTCTTCTCTGTCACCCCAGCAGATACTCTCTGCTCACTGTGCTCTTTTGAGGGCTTCCTGGTACACCTCTGGGGAGAAGAGTTGGTGCTCCTTGTTAGTCTAAACATGGGCAGGAGGGCTGAGATCACAGGCAGGAATCACAGAATGAGCTCACATC